AAAAAAGTTTTTGAATCATCTCAGGGAATATATTCATTCCCAATAATTAATCTGAGCAAGGAAAAGAAAATAGAAGCCAAAACAAAAGTGAATTGATTCAGGCCATACTAAAAATAATGATTTGGGATCTATATATTTTCTTTAGTCTCCACTCAAATTAAAAAAAATACTGCTTAATTTTCTATGATAATCACTTACCTCCTGAGACTTAACCCCCAGACCATCAGGGAGGCCTTCCTGACCCTTTTGAATTGGGAGTTAGGGCTTGAGGTAGTCATCCCAAAGTGTGCCCAAGTATATACTAACTGCTCTGGATTGAAGTTATTTGAGGAGTAGCCAATGCAGAAATGATACTCTGACCCTTTCTGTGCCCTAAAAGTGGGAAATAAGTCTCCCACAAGAAAGGTACGCAGTGGTAGAAATATTTTACTATTGACAAAGACAAGGAATTCAGACTCTGTTTAGCTATGGAAAATAACATTCCTTAGCTCATCACTAAATTAGTTTTGTGGACTAAAATTTCCTTGTATTGTCAGTAAATAATTGAATGAGACCACAGGGAGCTACTAGATAGGAAGAAAACTGAGGTGCTAAATCACCTCTTCTCTATGAAGTTGCATTCAATTTGTGGAAGGACAGTGAGTGACAGGTGGAAGGCCAGAAAAGGAATGTGGATTTTTGAGATTCTGGGTGTGCAATATACCGGATAATAAGGTCATAAGTCAATGAAATTCAGTTAAGATTCAGAAAGTTCAAGAACTGTATAGCTTAAGTGTTGGTTCTTCTACATAAGTTATGAAAAATCACCCCAAATGTCAAGATGATTCATGAAATCTGGTGAGTGATCAGAGTAGTAGAAAATGACCTGACATTTACTTATCAATCATTTTCCATACTCCCATTTAAGTTCCAATTCATTCTTTCTCGTTTTTATGAAGATTTATTTTATTTATGCATCCAACAACTTGGGTATAGTCAGAGATGGGGAGGGCAAGTGAGAGGATTCACCAGATGCCGCGTCCGGCTGATCGGAGCCAAGTCCAGCGAGGGACGATGAGGTTAAAGAAAACACAGGACGCCGAGGTTCTTCATCCAGGAGTCTCTCGTTTATTTCCAGCGATCCCTTTATATACCATTAGGCAGTAGGAGTAGAAGATTAAGGCGGGAAAGGAGGAAGTGGGGAATTTCTCTTGCCACACCGCCTGCAGCTGCCAGATGC